TCGATGGAGTTACTGCGAAGGCTACGAACTTAGAAATGGAGAGCAAATTGAAGAAATGACCCTGAGCAATCAAAGAGTCCAAGTCCAGGTCTTATTTGTCAACATTTTTTTTCTCAACAAAAGAATAAAATAAAAGACATAATCATTATTTTATGACACAAGACTTGACTATATGACGTATATTTCAAAATGTGTGTTAAAAAAAAAAAAAAACCCCCATGTTCCTATACTTTAACCGTATTTTATTTTTCATCATCCTTTTAGTTACTTCATCTAAAATATTAGTCCTTTTAGTTTGAAAAATATTTAAAGGCATCATGAGTTGACCCAAATAATATTAATTTTGTTAAATTAATGGACTTAACAGTGTTATAAACCTAAAGTATTTACATTCTCAGGGCTCTTTATATGACAAAAATAACCAAAAAATTCATTTGGCCATCTGACATATTTCGTACCAAAATTTTCATCATTGCATACCACTCCAATCATTATAAATTACTTGTAACTTTCATTTTCAAATACTAAAAAATGCATTTTATCCATAATAAAGTTTTTCTCTGTTTGCATTTACAAATTAATCCTATATCTTTCTCCTCTTTCTTTCTTTTCAACAAAAATTAAATAAAAGTAAAATCAGAAAAATAATCATTAAATACCCTACAAGTAACTTTTACATTTAGAACTAAAATGTTTTTCCCACTTATAATAAGAATAAGAATCAGAGTGGCATAAAGTAAGCATTTTGTCAGATGATCATTTTTTCCTATTCAATAATGTGGGTCTGGACCTTCCAAACACATAAGCAATATAACTGAATCCAAAAACAAGATAATGCAAGACCAGCACATTATGGTCGTCCTTAATTGTGAAATGTGTTTTATGTATGATACATGAAGAGGAGATGGAAAAGAGAGAAGCCTCTAGAAATGTGATCTTTCATGTCATAAGGTCAACTAAATGATCATTAAATTGAGGGGAAAGGATTCAATTTTTTAAATAAAAAAAATATGATATATAGGATACATATAATCTTAGAGTAACATTGTTTGTAACGAAAAAATTTATTATACAAAATAATATTAGATAGTTTTTTGCCTGGCTAGAAACATACTATCATTAAAATAAGATGAAAGGACAAATGCATCATCTCATATTACCATAGATTTTTTTTTTATCATTTTCCTTTTTTTAAAAGAATAATTGGTTTATATAACTTTCAAAGTTATTTTTGAAAATTTTGTTCAAAAATATTTTAAAATTAAAAAATTAAACTGCTCTTTGTATCTTAAATAGAAAAATAACTGAATTTAAAAATTTAAGACTCAAGATAACTGTGTCAAATTTTAATTTTTAATAGTAATCTTATTTTTGAAAGCACAAAAGACGGCCATAGATTTTTGGGGACAATAAATAGGCCAACATAAAGTTTTTGGGAACAATTATAATTTAATTTGTTTTTTAAATCTTAAGTTTTGAAAATTAGGGTATGTTTGGTGTGAGGGAAATGGAGGGGAGGGGAGGGGAGAAAAGGAAAAATTTTAATAAGTTTGATTTAGAAAAATTGAATAAATAAGGTTAACAGTATTTAATTAAATTTTTTGATAACTTTTTAATTAATTTTTCTTACTCTTTATTAAAACTTTATATGTAACCCCACTTCTCCAATTTTCCAAATGAAACTCATTAAAAATTTTTCTTCCTTCCCTCCATTTCTCTCATACCAAATACATGGTAAAACTCTATCGGTCTATTGAAACATCCACATGAAGAATATGACTGAAGAAATTATACATATTTCCTTAGACTTCATGAAATATGTGAAAAAAGATTGTAACACTACAAAGTTACCTGACGATAAAGAAAAACATTCTTCTTTGTAAATAGCACAACTATTTATAAATTTTATATCTCATATCAATATGTTGGTGATATTATTAGTTATTGATTTATATATATTGATTATTTGTTGTATTTTGTATTTCAAGTTGTGGGATCCTTATTTCATGGATTTTCATGTCATAGTCATTCTCTAATATCTATCATTAAGATGCTATAAAAATCTTGTGACTTGGTTATGCATCACTTTCTAGGACCAATCCTTCTCGCAAAAGAATACAATGCACTTAGTTGTAAGTCTCATTCTGCCCTTTTCATAAAAGATATATTGAACATGTTCTGAAATACAAAAATAACTAAATTAAAGGATTTTAAGACTTAAAAAAAATTGTATCAATTTCACAAACTAATGCACTTTATTATCATAAAAAATATTTTTTAGTCATTGATATTATATTTATAGCTCAAAGAGTAATCTAAATATGTTTTTTTGATTGCATATTTTTTTATTTTTGAAATACAAACATGCTTTTGTTAAGACGAAAAGCAATCTTTTAGCTATCATTTTTATAGAAGTATTTTAATTTAAATATTTATATCAAAGTATTCTATATTTTTAAAAATGATTATATACATTTTGAAGTATTTATACGATATAACAAACTTTACAAACATTCTGACAAAAAAAAACTTTATAAACATTATGTATAATTTACTAATTTTTTATCACTTAATTTGTTCTAAATCAAATCCATATGTTTTCTTCAACCTTTCGGGCCAAGCATTGGCCCAAAAGAATAAAATGCCATCCCAGTGATATTATTTCATAATATATTTTGAAGCTTTTAATCAAATAATTATACATAAATTTATTTATTTTGAAAAAAATACCACGAAAAAAAACCTGTGCTGCCTAAAGCTGCGCATAGTAGAAGGGAGGCTAAAGTTAGAAACAATGAAGAGTGCATAGGCTGCTCAGTAGAGACAAAGTATTTTAAATATAAATTGATCCGAGTCTCAAACATAATTGATTTAAAGTATATGTTTCAGGTTTCAATTTAATCCCTTAAATTTATAAAAAGTATTTTTAGTTTTGAAATGTTAACATTGTTACTTTTATTTAATAGCTAACTCTATGTCGGCCAAAAAACAAAGAGCCGACTCTATAATTACATGCTTACGAGTTATGTTCTAAATTTTAACCATTTAATATATTTATTTTTTATTTTTAAATTTAAGCATATTTTGTCAGTATTTAAAGATAAAATTATTATTTAAAATTTTTAACTCAGTACTTTTTTATCAAATTAAATTAATCGTGTTAAAGATTAAATGACTGAAAATATTATTAAAAAAAACTAAATTTGATGTAAATTTAAAGAACCATGTATAGCCAATTGGCCTGACATGTACACAGCAAAAGGTATCTAACTTTAAAATTTTGTTATAATTTGTGGTCAAAGATTGACCAGCGCTTCTTCCACGAGAAAATAGAGAAAATAGAGAAAATTATCGATAAGTTCTAGGTGAAAAAAATGAAATACGTGTAGGTCTCTTCAATTTCATTTAATATTTACACGTTTTAATGAAATTGATATTTATAAATTTGATTCGTAAAAGACGTAGCTGAACTTATAAATAGGAAAATAATTTAACTTGTAAATATTAAATTATTGAATGTGATCCGTAAATAATGCAACTCAATTTGTAAATATGACAGTCTGACTTGTGAATATTAAATATCTTGAGACATATTAATTTTAAATGAAATTGAGAGGATATATTTATATTTAATTTTCTTAGTTTAGGTTAGGATTTTTTTTTTTTTGAAAAGAATATTGACTTTAAGACTTTTGGGTTAAAAATATAATGAAAAAAAGTGGATTTGCGTCCTTACGTGTAAAGGATAGAGTGGTTGAGAAAAGTAAAAATCTAATCGAGCAAAAAGCAAGGTAGAAAAAAGAATGAGATCTGTTGAGTTAAAGCGCATCTTAACACAATGAAATATTTTCCCGGTTGTATATAGCACACTGTAAAATATTTTGTAATGCATCTAATATCTTAAAATATTTTATATGTGTGTTCACCATTTTTTGTTTTCTGATCTTGGTATTAGATACACCGAAAAATATTTTAGAGTGTTAGACTTACTTGAAAAATAACTCTAGGGTGCGGGATATACAAAAAAATATTTTAATGTACTGAACACACTTGAAATGATACTTTATAGTATTGAATGCATAAAATAATACTTTAAGGTGTCAGATGCACTTAAAAAAGATATTTTGTGGTGTTAAATGCATCTCAAAATAATTTAGGATGCATGCCTGTGTTAATCATTATCTCCTCTTAAGCATGAGACAAACATTTGGCTGAGAAACAAAAAAGACAAACATTTCAAAGCAATAAGTAATTATCATTCTATTTCTCAATACATATAAAAGACAAGGGAGTCTTAGCCCTTAGACTCTTCAATTTATAGAAATTAATTACCATATAATATTTGATCAAATATATTATTATTGGTGACACTATGGGCAACTTTTATTTACCTCACTAGAATCAAGAAAAAATAATTAAATTATGAAAATAGTTTGAAATTGAAAGAAAAGCAAATAAGGTTACCCCGTATTTAAAAGCATAATTAAAAAAAAATTAAAAGTTAAAATAACAGTAATTTTATAAAAATATAATTAATTATGACACCATCAATTTGTTGAAGAAAATGATCATATATAACCAGAAATTGTGTGTGTGTGTGTGTCTGTGTGTGTGGGAAACCTAATAATTCTTTTGCCACTTTGGCATACAGTGAACTGGCGGATGAAAAGTTTAGAGTAATGGCCACTAATCAAAGACATTATAACCTACTAACATGAAAATTTTCAGTGAATATTACGAGTTTAATTATACTTATAATTCTAAATTATCTTGGCACAAAACATATAATTTTCAAATTGTGCCCTCCAAATTAGAAAAAAAGACAAAAAGAAGAATAATGACCAGTAGCATCAGCAGCGATAATGGATCACTCTTTTCCCCCCTCAATTATTGCGCACTCTTCTGAATGTGGGACCTCTCGGCTTTATTGCAACAAACCAGCGTTCTCACGTGGAAGCACCAAACGGAACCCCACGCCCTTTCTCTTTCTATATAACTGCCACCGATCACTCCTATCTTCTCACTTCATCAATACACAAAACAAACAAAGAAAAGAAAAACTGTACGTCAGAGTCCCGGAGAAAGGTGGATAGGTAGTTAAGTTGCAGGAGTAATGGCGATGAAGAAGAAGATGGGCGCGATCAGTCTGATGGTGATGGTGGCGCTGATCCTCGCCGCGGCGGAGCTGCCACACGTGGCTGAGGCGGTGACTTGCAGTCCGGCTGCTCTGAGTCCCTGCATCGGAGCAATAACGTCTTCCTCTCCGCCGTCGAGCCAGTGCTGCCAGAAGCTGAAGGAGCAGAAGCCATGTCTGTGTGGGTACCTCAAGAACCCTAGTCTGAGGCAGTATGTTAACTCTCCTGGGGCCAAGAAGGTTGCTTCTACTTGTGGAGTTCCCACCCCTTCTTGTTGAATATTGAATGAAAAATAGTTTTATAGTGAGTGTGATCGACATCGATCGACTAATTAATTAGTATCATACTCCTCCGGTCTTAACATAAAAGAACCTTATACACACTGGTATAAAAATCTTATATTTAGGATCGGAAGAGTAGCATATGAGTATTTGAGGAATAATATCAGAAAAATATATTACCCTCTTGGGGAATATATTCATGCTGTGTTCAAGATTCTACTTGGTTATATAGCTTCATCAATGATTATGCCCAACTGTTTACCTTTTGGTTATGTTTGGTAGGAAGCATTAAAAATGAGAGATTGGGATTGTGATTACAATTGAAAAAATCTACTACCTCCGGTCCTAATTATAAGAGCCAGTTGACTAATTTGAGGAAATTAAGGAAATAAGCTGAGTTAGTTATTTGTCATAAATAGGTGTTGTCTTTCCTAAAATATCCTTGTTAATCAAGTGTATTGACTAGAACTCTTATTATTAGAATGACTACTTTAGAGAAAAAAAAGTATAAATATGAGAGACAAAGTGGATTGGGATCTTATATTTAGGATCAAAATAAAAGTCAAACAGGGTCTTATATTAAGGATCAGAGGTAGTATTAAAAGAGTGTTTAGTATAAGAGATGATTTGTTATATGGGATTATCCAAACTCATATATGTGGGATTGGAGAATACCATGGGGGAAAGTTGTATTTCCCAATCCCACTTCTATGGGTTTGTCTAATACCATATAATAAGAAATTACTTATACTAAATACTATTTTAATGATTTTTTTCAATTCTAATCACAATCACAATTCCTCATTTTCAATACTTCATATCAAACAGGAACTTTGGGTAATGGAATAATAATGGTTATACTGTCTCTGAACGGTTGATTCTGTACTGTTTTTTCCCCCCTTTTTGAATAGGTAATATAATAATTCGAAAACAAAATGGAAAACACGGATCGACGACATTTAATTCTATCTTCCTTCAACAAACTCGACCTTGTGCTTGTCAGGTAGAGGCTGATTATGGATACAAAAATCTTTCTTTATACCGTGAGAAGATTTTGGCAGATAATTAATTAGCATAACTAAGATTCATTAATTAGAATAACTATGGATAAACTTCCTAGATTCATCAATGATTTTGCTAAATGGATGGTCACTATCATATCCTCGAGTAATTAAGCAAATTACTAGCCTCTATACAATCAGAATAAATTACAACAAGTACTATATCTAGTTGCCAAAATTAAGGAGATTAAAAAAATTAGTTGCATCTATTTTTTCCCCATATCTCCAAGATTTTGTGAATAATTTAAAGTTTAAAGCATTACATTCAAGGAAAAATTAGTCGAAAGTTGCTAATTAGAAAAGTAACTGAATAAAAGTACTTTTTTTTTGTTGCCAGAATTGTATAAAAGTACTCAGGGAACATGATTTTTGAGTGGATATAACTCATTTTTAGCAAGCGAAACTATTCTTCAAGTGTGTGCCATATATCTTCAAGTCTTCAACTAATGCGATCTTCTATTCCCCACACAATTAAAAATAGGTTGTATATAATTGAAGAAAAATTGCACTCACTTAAAATAGACTGCGCTTGCGTCCTTAAACAAATTATAAATAAATACCTTTGCATAATTAATTTCTTAATCATGAACTTTTGACTAAATTTCTTTTTATATATTCAGTTTGACCAATTATACTATATACTAATTAATTTTAAAATGTTGAAAAATCTAGGGGTTTCTTATCTCTTATATTGAGAAATGAAAGAAGAAGAATCTCACATAAAAAAACTTGAAATTACTAAGTCTTAAATTAGGTTTGATAATAATATTGTAAATAGGTTTTAACAACAATGGACTTACAAATAACAATACATTATTGTAAAAAAATTTTAGATTTAGTAATTTTACCATTATCTTTGATGTGGGAACAAATCTCATTCTTCTTCTAATTTTTTTTTTTTGAATGAAAACATTGCCAACTACTCAAATAAATAACCAAAGGAGTACAACGCCAAAAACCATCAACCCCCACCTATTGTATAAAAGGTGGTTCTTGATGATAGAGGTGACACGTCTCTGGTGACCTATGAGCGGAGTTTGCTAGGAAATCCGCTAAAGTATTTTCTTTCCTATAGACATGATGAATTTGAATCTGCCAATCCCTATGGTAATACATCTTAGCATCTTCTATCAGGTCCCTAAAAGGGTGGTCATCTTCACACCCTCTTGACAAAAAATTAATAACATTTATACAATCAGTATTGATCACAACCTTCTATACCCTTTGTCCTAACATTGTTTCAACCCATGAATCATCCCAAGGAGTTTTGCAATGCTCGGCAGAACTGTAACTAGTTTACAGCTAAAGCCAAGAAGCCACCGATTGTTTTTGTCCTTTATTACTCCTCCAACGTCACAAAATCCTCTCCATCCTTAAAAATGGATGTTTGATTTGTGACTTCATGCTTGTAGAACTTGCATCTTTTTAGAATCTCGTTATCCCATGCAGCTCTAAAGAAAGTTGCTTTTCCTATTTGAGTTCTGGTGTTACTTTCCATATCAAAGAGCTTGGTACATCTTGAGGTCCATATGTCCCAGCATAAATAACCAAAGAGGGTCGTCCATGAGATCTTCTTGGTGTAGTCTTGTCCAGCTTCATTTGTCAGATTCCATCTCACCCAATCAACACCTTGCAAGGAGGCAAAAGTACTCCATTTTGAGGCCGCTACCACTGACTTCCATCTATGTGTTGCATTCGAGCAGTCCCGAAGTAGATGCAGATCGTCTTCTTCTTGTGCGCATCCAAAGGGATAGGAGGCCACTAGGTCAATGCCCCTGTTTACTCTGAGTTTAGCTGTATGCAGACTCCCATGTATTAGTAGCCATAGGAAAGTCTTCATTTTCTCTGGCAGGTCACAGCTCCAGACTTTCTTCCAAAGACCGTCCTCTCTCCTTCAAGTACCTGTAGAAAGAAAATGATAGGCAAAGTTTATAGAGAAGGAACCATCAGGGGATGGTTTCCAGTAAATTTTATCCTCTCCTTTCTCCTCACAGGGGGGATGTGCTTTCACAATACAGTCAATAACACTATAAGGAAACCAGGTAGACAGCTTCCTTAAGTCCCAATTTCCATACCCATCCACATAATCACTTACTTTCTCATTGGGATCAATATGATCTTCTCTTCTAGAAACCATATTAATAAGGTTTGTATTCATCTCTGACCATTGATCAAACCAAAAAGAAGTTCTAACGCCATTCCCAATCTTTTTCCCTAGTCCATCCTTGAAACTCTTCCACACCTAACAGATGCTCCGCCAAGTTAGGGAGGAATTTCTCTTCCTTTGGACAGTGGGTATTTCTTGGTTCCCACATTTGTATTTAGCTCTCAGTACTTGAACCCATAGAGCCTCTCTCTGAGTGGTCAACTTCCAACAAAGTTTCAAAATGAAAGCTTCGTTTTGTCTTCTTAAATTCTTAATCCCCAAACCCCTTGCTTTTCTGTCTTCTTGGACTTTCTCCCAAGATAACAAATGTAGCTTCTTTTTGTCGTTTGTATCACCCTAAATAAACCTTCGGCTTTCTTGTTCCAACTTTTTTAGTAGTTTCTTTCATAGTAGCATTACTTGCATGTGATACGAGGGCAATGCATTTAACACAGCTTTAATCAAGATTGATCTTCCTACTAAGTTCAAACTTCCATCCTGAGAGTCGAAGATGTGATTTTTGAATGATAGGTGCAAAGGTCGCATAGGAGGCTCTCTCGTGGAATAAGGGTATTCCAAGGTACTTCCCAAGATTTCCTGTGAGGCCTACCCCCATTCTCTGGCTCATCTATATTGCCCTTGAGTAGTTAATATTCCTAGAGAAACATATCTTGGTCTTAGTCATACTCATCCTTTGACCTGACGCCTCGCAAAACCCATTTATACATTGCATCATACAGTCAATTTGCCTGTTCATTGCTTCCCCAAAAAGAATCAAGTCATCTGTAAAGAAAAGATGAGACAATCTCAATCCTCCTCAGCTTAACTTGATTGCCTTCCAAGTACCATCATCCACTGCATCTTGAATCAAGTGATTCAATCGCTCCATACAAAAGGTGAAGATGTACGGAGACATTGGATCCCCTTGTCTAATTCCTTAAAAGAGGCTAAAACTCTCAGTTGGCTCCCTATTCCATAAAATTCTAATCTCAGGAGTAGTAATGCACGCCATTATCACCTCAATTAGTTTATCATTTATCCCAACTAGCATTAAGGTCTCTCTAATGAAAGCCCACTCCAGCCGATCATAGGCTTTTTCCAGATCCACCTTTACTACGAGCCATTCTTTCTTCCTTCTCTTATTCTTCAGGCCGTGTACTACTTCCTAGGCTATAATGATATTGTCACTGCTCTGTCTACCTGCTATGAAGCTGCATTGGTGCTTACCGACCATCATATCCATAATTCGCTTTAGCCTGTTGCTCACGATTTTGGTAATAACTTTGTAGCTCACATTACACAGGGATATGGGTCGAAAGTCTTTCATCTGTTCTGGTCTTTCATTTTTTGGGATGAGGACAAGATTCATGCTGTTTATCGAGGCGATCCTCACAAGTTCTGTAAATACCTCTTCAACCAACTTGCACACTGACTCTTCAAAAATGTTCCAGTATTCTTGGTAAATAAAAGCTTGTAGTCCATCTAGCCCAGGTGCCTTGAAAGCTCCCATCTCAAAGATTACTGCCTTGATTTCTTGTCTCGTCACCGTGCTGGATAAAAAAGCTTTCTCTGTTTCGTTTATAAGAGGGAAGCCATGTCTAGTTTGGAGGGTTTGAGCACTAGAAAAATCACTCTTAAACAGGTCTTGGTAGAACTTGAGAGACATCTGTTTCAAAGTGTCTTGTTCAAAAATCCAGTTGCCTTCCAAATCTTGTAACGCCTCTACTCTGTTCTTGCATCTCCTCATAATGGTTGAATCATGAAAGAATTTGCTATTTTTATCTCCCTATTTCAGCCATTTACACCGAGATTTCTAAAACCAAATCAACTCCTCTTGAGCCAGAGTCTTGTTATACTCTTTCCAAAGTTCCCTCTCTACTTGTAGAAGGTATTGGCTATCCCGATTCGATCGTGCTCTTTCCACTCCTTCAATTCTGGTAAGCAGGGTGGTTTTCTTTCTGGATATACTCCCAATTTTAATTTTGTTCCGTTCTCTAGCTTCATTGGTGAATTTTTTTAATCTTTTCTTCCCAGGATCCTGAACTCCAACTATTTCTAACCACAT